CCTTGCTTTTATTTTTATTTTTTTGCGTCCCGAAATAAATCGCAGCCCGCTGCCATCAGGGCGCCGCAATCTCTCAATCTTATGTATTCCTTTCCTTTTTTTTTCTTCCCTTCCGGAGCACCGAAGTTTGCTTGCTTCAAGAGAGTTTGTCGTACCACGGCGCTTCCGGTAATCGAAATTACGTACCTACGCACAGGGCTGAAGGATCCATCCGTATCGACTCACTGACCCAATACGAGTCCATCTCTCAGTTGATTGATTGATGGATGGCTAGATGGCTTGCATCGTGCTTGGTATTCCGGCTTCAAGCAATTGCTCAAGCGCAGTAAAGAACTACTAAGCATATCGGCCTCCGTAGCTTGCCCATGGTTGATGATTACGGTGACCGACGGACCCTGGTTCAGCCTCAGCAATCCCAGGCCCCTGGACCCTTGAATTGGTGAGACTGATGATTGCTTCTTGGCCATTTCGAGCTTTGCAAGGGCGTCTCGTGTGTATCGCATTTCGTGCCGGCTTACTTCAAACTTTCAGGCACACAGGACACTTACGCACCGTTGCAACGCTTCGTAGATTGTGTACTTGTATTCGTCTAGATGGCCATCGCCAGGCCAATTGCCTCGCAACCATCTGCTCTTCAAGAGCTGTACTAGGTACCACTCATACATGGCTCCCCCGCTTGCATCTCCATAGCCGCGCGCCCGCTGGGAGGCGCTTTATCAGCGTGAGCTTACGACATTGCGGGCAGGCACAAAGTGGAAAGTTATGGAGAATTGGTGAGCAATAGTACTTGACTTCTTATTAGCCATCTGGGGCAAGGAGACACGGCAAGAATTGTACTACGAGATCCCGTTCCGCCGCCAATGGCTGGCCTTTCCTTGTGATTGCCATCATCCAATTTTGATCGACTAGCACCGGCGCTGCTGAAGCCAAACTTCGATGGCTTGTTTGGGAAGAAGCCCCTGGATCCCCAGCAACCGCCCGAACTGAAAACGCACGTGGTGGGTGATGTGCCCTCCATGGGGCATGGATGTTACATGTTCACGCCTCCAACCACATGCAGTTTGTTTGCTGCCCGAATCAAGCCACAACTCAGATTCTCGTCCAACCAGATCCGATCATCTCATTTTCGTCGAATGTGATGGCGCTTCTTCTGTTTTTTCGATAGCTTCTCTTCACTTTATTCCTTTTATCCTTTTGTCTCTAGCGAGGGGTGGTGGTGCGTGGGTGTCTTCATCTGCGTCACAAGCTTGAACCAATGGCGTTTGAAAGGATTTTAGGCTGCTGTCTTTTGTCTCGTTTTGACCGCATGTGGTCTGGTCGTATCAGAAAGGATCTCAGCCTTGCAATCAACGCACCCCCTAGGATTCTCCTTGTGTTCGTCTGGCAGAAACTTGGCTGGGTTTTCCTTTCCGACAGGATATAGGAGGAACAAGAAATAAGGCCGTTGCCAACATTCGCGCGAGGCCGATTAGCTTGATGCTTTCTCGAGCTTCTTCAGCGTGGACGTGAGTCTCCACGATGTTGTGGAGAACGGCATGGACTTGCTGCGCTGGCTCGGAACTATGACGCCTCTTTTCTACTGCCCATGGTAGTAAAACTTTCCGCAGCAGCGGGAAAGTTGTTCCTGGTGACGCTGGTCATGCTGTGCCGGGGCGTAGAAGCATTCCAGAAGTTGCCGCTTACGTGGAGTTTGTCCATCGAAGGCGTTTGTGAACCCGTTACGTGAAGGCCGTATCGTTCATGAGTATATTGGCAAGTTGTACACATCAGATTCATGCGATTGGCACCACCGTGGCCGATCTTCTTTCATCAATGGCGATCGGACTAAGGGCACCCTTTCATCAGTTCTCTCTTATAACAGAACATGGGGAGCTCCTCAGCGTACTAGCCGTGAAAGCCAACACAGATCGGGACCTCGGTGAATCAGGCCTACCCGTATTTCGTATTTCATACTTCGTACTTTACCTTGACTCTCCCTGCGGTCATCTCCTCTAGCAGGAAAAGGCTGGAAATGTTTGCTTCTCAGCCCCCTGAATCCTCTCGGCTCGTGTCAGGGATGTTTCTTTTTATTTTTTCGCCCTACAGTGCACGGGTCATCTTGCATGATATGACGGCAGCTCATATCACTCATCGATGGAAAGGAGTGTGAACTTCTGAATGCTGCTTGCTTACACGCACACCCCACGTTCCCCAAGACATTTGGCTCGTATACTTGTGGTGAAGACTGAGTTCTGCTGGGGCAAGTTGTGGGCAAAGAAGGTGAAGCATAATGCAGATGGTATCAAATATTGCACCACATTCGCGCATTTACATGCAAAAGCACTGCCTAACTATATCGAGCGGCCTCAGGGTGATACAGAAACCAGAAATACAGAAACCAGAGATACAGAAACCAGAAGCTAGGTATGCATAGCCTGTTCTCACACAAGCTACAGAGTGTGTGGGAGAGGAACACCAGCTCATTATCAACTCTATGCCGGCTCTTCCCTTCTCTCAAACTCCCGTTGAGGCCCCTGGCCCATCTCTTCATGGCTACGTGCAGGTTTCATCAGCAAAGGGAAGCTGATCATGTTTGCTACCGTGCCTTTGTGCTTGCGGCGGTGCTACTCTGTTTCAACTCTGTTACGGGCCGCTGTATTTATATCGTAGTCCTTTGTGTGTTGATGATGTCTCCTGTTGATAACCTACCGCGGGTGTACGTTCTTCCTCCACCTACCTAGCGTTGTCTATGCTAGGTGTTCGTACGCTGCTATCCGAGCTTCGAGTTATATGCAAGGCAACCGTTACTTCTAGAGCACTGTCAAGGTATCAGACGGGAACGGTGACGGGTACTCAAGTAAGGAGACGCATTCGTCCGCCTGTTAAGGTATGAGTGGCAAAACCGATGATCGTGGTCTTGGTGCCCTGCAGTCTGCACATGAGACGAAAGAGACGCTCGCACATGCGACATGTAACAACTCCCTCGAACAAATGCTGCGGCCTTTTTCTTTCTCTCTGGTATGACGATGTGTGCGCACAGAAATGCTACTGGTACTCGGTGGATCGTTCCATTGAGAGATCGGGCGCGGAAGAGCACGAGGCGGCTTGGGGTCACATTTCGCCTCACGTCTCTCGTTGGGGGGGGGGATTGCCTGCTCATGTTACACGGGGGGCTGGGCTGTGAGGCGTTCTTAGACAGGCGTGATAAACTCGTCTTGTTCATAGTCATCGAGCATACGCGACAGACAGATACTAGCCTTGCCAGCCTTGAACACGGCGCTGTTATTACCAGATGTCTATTAGAGCGTATTGACATCTGCCTCGCCTCTGGTGATAATTCGCCGATCGGATCCGCGATGTCGGGACGGATCTTAGTAACTGGGTTTCAGTATGGCCGGAGCTTTATCGTCATAGTGGTAGAATGCGGCATATGGGTCTGAGGAGATGCTCGCATGTACTGGCGGCGTCTGGGTGCATTGGGTGGCCTCGAGATGTCACTGCGGCATATGGATCTGCATCACGATATCTGACCACAGCCAAAGGTACTGGACTACTACTACTACATAACGTCAACTTCAGGTATCATGCGGTCCATGGGGTATCGGACATTCTGCCACTATAGCCCACCCTAGCACCAAGGATGATACGCCCTGGCAAAAGGAGGTAACAATGGTGGACATCAAGTTCGAGAAAGGAAAAAGGAGGGAACGGCAGAGAAGGGCAAAGAAAAAGAAGAAGAAGACGCAAAAGGGCGGATATGCTTGCAAATGCAATGCAAGACACGCTGGCAGACCGACCTCGAGGCCCGCCATTCGCCAGCACACCCCTGCAAAGGCTGCAGCCAAGAAAGGAAGAAGGCTCTGGATGGGGGGAGCGAGGCAGGGAGGCTGTTGTTGACGTGGAATCACGCCGGCCTGTAGGACCGAGGACTGTGTTTTGGATTTTCCTGCTGTTGGCGGTTTCTTTGGCTTCGATGCGGTTTCTTAGGCTTCGATGCGGTTGATGGTTGATGGTGGACGGTTGGTGGTTGATGGATTGGTTCGGAGATGCATCGGGGACTGTTTGTCCCTTTGACCTCTGGTGTTTGTTTGTCACAAGACCGTGGATGAAAGCAGCTCAGATGCAGGTTGTTATACCTTAGGCAATCAGACAGAGTTCGGTTTCTTCCTCCTTGATACCTATTCCTCCTCTTTGCACGTTTGTTGGTGTGACGTAGACTCTGTAGCATCTCAGATACTACCTTATCATCCAATGCCTGCCCATCTGCGCTTACCCTGGGCTACATCGACTGCCGGCACATTTGCTTAGCCTCGCAACGTACCTCTGCTAGGGGCGCCAGGCCCAATCAGCGCTTCATCCACTCAAAGAAGCTCTGGCTGGCCTTTGTCAACAACAATCTCCAGCATCGTGTGCTGCTCGCCTCTCCTTGTCTTTCTTCTAGAGAAGCAGGCCGAGTCTCTCACTCGCTCTGATATTCTCCCTCGTTATCGAGTCGAGCGCAATTGATCGCAGCATCAGCCAGACATCACTCATCACCATCGTCAGTCACCCTTGTCAAGGCGGCCAGGATCCCCGCCATTGCCAATTCACCTTGCAGCAGCTCGGACGCGCGACCACATTGAAACAGCCCCTGGGCTCTGTCCAAAGACGAATTGATCACCTCTCTTTTGCACCAGGTTGCCGTCGCCGCCACAGAGCCATAGCCCGCCTGAGATCCAAGTTGCGAACTGCGCAATCTCGCAAGCCGGTGTCAATCTTGGAATCCCGCCCTTTTCTCGCCACACCGACTCGCCTGCTGTGCTGCCCGCCGGCTGCTTCAACCCAACGACGAACCTTCTCGATACCCGGCCGTAAACCCCCGACCTCGAGCAGAAACTCCCGCGGGCCCGAGAGACGGAGGCTGAGCTGTCCCGGAAGCGCATGGCATCGCTGTAGCGGCGCGGAGCTGCAGCATCTTGTTCTCCTCGGCCGGGCCTTGCGTCGCATCACACAGATACAGTACCTACCGGGAGTACCGAACCATGACCACCGAGAGAATCAAGGTCCCGCCCAATGGGCTCGAAATCAAGAGTGTCTTGTCGCCAATCACACCGACAGTACCCACCACCCCGTTTACCTCTGGCTTTACGCCGCTGGTGACCGTCGTCGGCTTCCACCATGCGCGAGGGCCCGAGGTCGAGAGCTGGTTCGGCGTCGAGGACGGCGTTGATCCGGCCGCCAAGTACGGCTGGAACTTGCTGCCGTTTATGGCCCTGAGTGATGGAGCGCATGCGTATGTGTTCAGCCCTTTCTTTGTCTTGTTTGAGCTGGAAGAGCCGTCGCTGACTTGATGTTTGCTGAGCAGCTCCGAGGAAGACTTTTCCTACTTTACTCTGCTGCGCCCCGAGACCGACGACGGACCGGCTACGTCTCTCTTCGGCATATCATGTACTCGCCAGCTCGATTCCTCCCAGCTCATCAACCGGCCTGCCGATGTGACTCGCTCAACCGTGCAGAAAGCGGTTGTCGTCATCGCAGACAGCCCCCAGTTCTTTGGCATGCTGAGACAGCGCCTCAGCATAGTCACCCAAGCGTGGTTTGCCCAGCGCGAGTTTACAGACGTCGACATCCTGCGCGGGTTCCAGGAAAGTCTCGCGGATGAAAAGGCCCGAGGTCTCCTGCAGGAGGAAGCCCAGAGAGACCAGTATCTCGGCATGAGTCTGCGCGAGCTGATTCACGAATTCAAGTGGCAGGCCCTGGTGCTCCTTAAATGCTGTCTGCTTCAGCCCAAGGTTGGTTTCTTGTCACTCTCCAAGACGCGCCCGCCCGCCTGGAATCGTGTCCATTGTGCGAATCAAACCTGCTAACGGCTCATCCAGATGCTCTTCTTCGGATCACGGTGTGATCGGCTATGCATGGTCCAATTTTCCCTCATTTCATTGATACCCGGACTCATCCGTAACCTCCAAGACTGCGCAGATCCCGAGCTGAACACGTACGAAAAGAAGCTCGCACAGCCAACGAGTTTGCAGAGTAGTAACCGCAACTCGCTACTAACCTTTATGGGGCTTCCGCTGCAGATATTCGGCAAAGTACGTGCCCGTCACACTTGATACTATCAAAAAGAAAACCGATAATGCTCACACACGAAAACAGGGAAGCATCTTTGGCCCGTATACCCCGTTACAGCAACTCGACCTGCTAGCCGATGTCGGCACTAAATCCTACATCGTCGGCAGCACCAACTCCCTACTTCTCCAACAAAAAGACCGTTACAGTGACATAATCATTAATCTCGATGACGACACCATAAACATCACATCGCCTTCCCTGAGAACGGCGTTGTCGTTGACTGCGGCGGACAGGCGATGGATCGACTACTTGACTCAGGAGGTCAACAATACGTGGGACGAATCCAACCCCAGCACGCCAAAGACGATGCAATACGCGGGAAGCGAAGAGTACATCCGCGCCCAGTTCGAATCCTACATCATCGGCCTGATATCCTCCGTCAAGTTCCACAACTACCTCGTCAAGAACGCCGCGACCGGCCGCAACACGGCGGAGAGCGACCCAGCCGTCGACTTTGGGCTCGACTGGGTAGAGGCGTGGCAGCGCACGGAAAACTACCGCATGTGGGACTCGCACACCGACACGAACCTGTTTGCCGTCTCGGAGCCGAGGCACCCTTGCGCCGGCGGCCTCTCCATCGAGGACGTGCAGAGACGCATAGCAGAGCAGGTCAAGGAGCTCCACCTCGACGAGCGCCTCGCCCAGGGCCGCGACATCCTGGGGCGCAACTTTGCCGCCGGGAAGGAGAAGGCGTCGACGATGCTGAACCGGCTGTACAACGACATGGAGCAGATGCGCGAGGCGCAGCGCCGCCGCGCCGAAGAGAACGCCAAGCTCAACGAAGCCAACGGCGGCAGCAAGCGCAACAGCATGGCCAGCGGCATCAGCGTGGACGCGGCGGCGGCGGCCAAGCAGCCCCAGCAGCAGGAGACGGTGGGCAGCCGGGCCAGCGCGTACATGGCCAGCTGGGCGTCGTGGGCGGGCGAGAAGCGGCGCAACGGCGGCTGGGGCGCGGGCTGGGGCAAGAAGAAGGCGGCGTCGTCGACGACCTCGACGGCCCCCGACGAGACGGCGTCGATGCCGACGAGCCCCATCGAGAAGGACTACCAGTTCGTCAGCATGCTGGCGTCGGCCGCGTCGCGCGGCACCAACTCGACCGAGGCGTACCGGCCCATGACGCAGGGCAGCTTCAGCGAGAGCATCCTTTCCGGCGCGGACAGCACCAGCAGCGGCCGTCCCGGGACGGGCTCATCTGCCGCGGAAGCGCCGCTGACGCAGTATCCGAGGGAGTTTGATGCTCATCACGACCGTGATAGTGATGATGGGTTCCGGGAGGAGACGCTTGTTGGCAACGGCGGGACCAAAAAGGCTGATTGAGAAGCTTCTGTCTCTCTCTCTCTCTCTTTGTTCTCTTGTTTTTCTTTCACGGAGTATGGACATGAAGGGAGAGAGAGGAAAGGAGGGGGAGGGGGGGAGAAAAATAGATGAGGCAATGATTATGTTTGGATTTTCTATATGAAGGGTTCTGCTTTTGCCTGGACGATTTGGTCTTTTTCTTCTTTTGACTTCGGGGGGGTTTACATTCGATATAGTATATATACAGGGTATGGGAATCGGACGGGGAACAATTACAACGGAATGAATGAATTAAAAACATGCGCATGTATGTCCTGCGTTGAACACACAAAAAAAGAGACAAGATCTAAACTCTGCACACACGCACTCATGGATAGGTATACAACGCAACACAAAACAAAACACAAAACAAAGCATAAGTCTTACCTGAAAACAAAGTTGTTTATCTACCCTGCAAGAGAGAGAAATCTCAGAAAGAAGTTGTTTTTCCATATCTCGATGCCTTTTTACCTTTGGGTAAAGTTATAAGAAACAAGGCAACCTTCGGGAGGAATGTACTGCAGACATGGATTGGCTGGGACGGAAAGGAGTTGACATATTAGAAAAGGTGGACTTCGTTCAAGCGAACGGAACAATTTGTCTCTATCGTTCAAGATGGGTGTTGTTGGTAAAGTTGGATATCCACAAGTTTCATCCCACGCTCACTCGGCCCCCTATCATCAATCTCATCTTCACAACGGTCCCCAAGACAGCAAACACGCGTAGTCACATCACATTCTGAACCACTCCAATGTTGGGTAACATGCGCACGTATTCTCTGTTCAATGTTACCTTAAGCTAGGCATGACCGCCCTATGGAACCCCCCTGGCACGCACTTCATAAACCTCATCAGACAAACAAAAAAGAACCAGAGAGATAAGCCATACCCTTTCCAGCTCATCCCAATCCCAGATGGCCCGAATCTACGCATGAAGGAAACTAGTTTGGGCGTAAAACAGATAACAGAAAAGAGGTATGGGGGGATAAACATGCCTGCGTCCAAGAGGTGAGGGGCTGAATGATGATGATGCATGACTGTTGACAAGCTCCGTAAATTCTACCGGATGTTCATAATATGAGAATGTGAGAGAGTAGGTTTATGCTAAGTAGCCCAATTCGTCATCATCCAGACGCTCGAGGTATTCCTTGTCAAGAAGGATTTCTATGCACTTCTTGATGTCGGCAACCTTGGGCACGAAGCGGGAGCGGATCTGGTTGATGGTCTCGCTCACAAGCAGCCCGTGCTTCATCTTCTTTCGTGCCTTCATGATACGAACAATGGCGGACTGGTGGATAATGGTTAGCCATGACAATTCTGGTAGAGATGGAATTCGGCGCACACGTACCTGCAATACCAACTTGCGGTCCTCCTCAATCGTCTTGTTCGTCTCCACCTCCTCCTGCTTCGCTTCCTTGATGCCGCCAAGGTTGAGATTTACCCTGATCTTCTTGCTCTTGAAGTCGTAGTTGAGGTTGAACACCTTGCCGGGTCCTGGCTTGTCACCGCCCTCCATCAACAGCACCTTGGCCTTGAGGATCACAGCCAGCGCTTGGTCGAGCACCTCGGTGCTCAGCTGGGTGGCGGTGCAGATGTCCTCGTAGACGTAGCTGTCCTTTTCATTGAACAAGAGGAGAATGGCCATTTGGTAGATTGACACCTGGAAGGTGTAAGGTGTCTTGCTGTTCTTGCAGTAGCCCGCCTTGATCTCGCCCTTGCACAGATGCCACAGCCAGGTGAGCTTGCGGCCGTCGTGCTTGTGCTTGTAGAATCGAACAAAGCGATCAATCTCCGAAGCGATCTCAGGAGGCGGGTCGAAGTGAGTGCTCGGCGGCGTCAGGGGCCAGAAGCCCGTGCCCAGAATGGAAAAGGTCGAGTCAACGGACCTAGCGTTGCCGACGGTATCCAGGTGCTCGCGGAACTCCTTGTTCAGATCCTTTGATATCTGCATATCCTGGAACATGCGCTGAAGCTTGTTGGTATATTCGAAACCGCACGCCTCCTTGAGCTTGCTGATCATGCTCGTCTCGGCATCGTCCGACGATGAGTTGCTGTGCACCAGTCTCCTGGCCAGCATACGGGAGTAGAACTTTTGGAAAACGTCCTTGTCCTCAATGTACTTGAAGACGGTCATGATTTGAGACAGGGTTCTCTCGAGATCGGCCTCTTCGATGCTCGTGGTGCTCTTTCTCAAGAGCACATCCGTGTACTTGGCCAGCAGCTCGGGCGACTTGTTCGACCCCGATTTGCAGACCTCGTTTCTGTTGACGAACTCGCGGCAGGCGTTGTCCAGAGATCGCGTGAACTCGGGCTCGTCGTTGAAGGCCCTCTTGACGAGGCCCTGATACTGTGTGTGAATCTCAAGCAGAGCGTCCACGTAGACCTTGGGTTCTAGCTTATCCCCCTCCGAGGACTGCACCTTCTGTACGGCGGCCAAGCCTGCTTTCCGCACATGGGTCTCAAACCTGGTGCGCAGCGGATCTAGGCCATCGGGAATACGAGAGAGCAAGCTGTACATCCTAGCCATGTCCTCCTCTCGATCATTGTCCAGCAGCACCTGAAACTCCTCTCTAAGGGGCAGGGAATGGTCGGCAATGAGGGCTTGGTTGCAGGTTCTCTTGAGGGGAATGGCAATGTCCTGATGCAGGTACATGTTGACGCGTTCCTCCTCTTCCGCCAGTCGTGCTTCGGCCTTTTTCATATACTCGACAACGGTATTCTCGGCGATGAACTGCTTCGATTCGGCTTGGTAAAACTCCTTGGTCGCAGCCAAGAAGGGGCGCTCAAAGTGGAACCTGTAAACGTCGAGAGTTGACTTGGAGGGATCCGCCTCGTCGAGACCGAGCGAGACGAACGAGTCGACGACCTGCTTGATTTGGCCGTACTCAATGGTCTCGCCGTTCCTCTGCTTCTCCACGAGCTTCAGGACGGCGTCCATGACCTTGTCCGACACCTGCTCGAAGAGCACCTTGCGCCATTGCACAAGATGGAGAGTGTAGACATCATATATGTTCTTCTTGCCCTCGTCAATCTCGCGCTTGACCCAGTGTCGGTTGAGATATTGGAAAAGGTGGTGGATGTATTTAGCAGCAATGGTATACCGATTCCATTCTTTGATGTAGTAGGTCAGCAGAGCCTCGTCTGTGTGCGACTTGGAGGCCTGGACAAGGTCGGCCAGGTGGCGCTGGAGATACTTAATCAGGTGGTTGTAGAGGTCCTCGCCCAACAAATGCGCTGCTCAGTCGACAAGGAGAAGGAAAGCGGGTCAGCGGATGCATAGCCTCAGGAAGAAGGGTAGAGCAGAGAGGAGGACAACAAACCTCCGCGGTGGCTAGTGGTCATAGTAGGACCGCTAAGACCGACGGCTTTCTGCGAAGTACAAAAGTTGTGCACGGCGCTGTGACAAATTGTAAGCAATCAGGCCTGCATGTGCGAGGACTCGAGTCGACGAGACGGGGGAAGCGATGAAAAAGCAGGCGGGGGCGTTGCATACGTGTAGACTCCCATATACATCTGCATATCCATGCCCTGCTCGAGGTCGTTCATGATCCTAGTGATGCCTTCCTCCAGGTACTTCCATCTGTAGCGGGCGTCAGTGGTGTCTGTCTGCCTGCGGGAGCTGCCATAGATGGCTTGCAACCCGATGGGGCGTCGACTCACGTTGCCTTGATGTCCTCCCGGTTTGGCACCGGGGGCATTCCCGACGGTTTGGCCACCATCTTGGGCGAGCGCGTGGGAAATGCGACGAGGCTCAGCTCCAAGCAGCAGGCCTTGCTCGTTCGAGAGAGGCGGGGTGGAGGGACGAGGTTCGACGCCTCTTACGGACTCGCGTGGGCGGGAGCGGCTGACGATGCAACGCAGCAAACGGCAGCGACTCCTTTCCTTTCGCGTCGGGATGGACCGCAGCGGAAGAGGCGGAGAGCCGATGCGTCGGGGACGAGGGAGGGACTTGGGCGTGGGCGGTTTCTGCTGCGAGGCTCTGCGGACAGAAGAGGCAGCGGAGAGGTCGCAGGCGAACGGAACGGTCAGCGGTGATGCTCACGCACCAGCCGGACAAGGCAGTGGGTCACTCGGTTTAAGAGCAAGTTCACAGGCCAACGGGCTGGAGAAGGCTCGACGCGGGCTGAATGGCAGACGAGGGACACGGCCAGGGGCGAGGCTGATGCTCGTCGGTTGTGCCCTCGGCTTGTTCGCTGCGAGGAGACGGGAGGGGTTGCAAGAGGAAGAAGACAAGAATGAAACCACAAAGACGAAAGAAGAAGATGCCGTTAGGGGATCAGGAAGAAGGGAGGCTGCGAGCAGAGAAGACGTAATGATGAGAGGGAATCAGGCAGTCAAGCCCAAAGCTCGAGTAACTACCGGTACTTACTTACTAACTTGGGCGCCTGAACGGGCTTAGCGCCGCTTTCTGCCCCGGCCAACCGCCTTTGTGACCGTCTGCCACTGCACTTTGGAAGAGGAGAGGACGGAGGTAGTCGATGTTTTGAGTGTTGATTTACATGTGAAGTTGTCTTCGTTCTCTTTTTATTTTCTTTTGCATCAATACTGATACCTACATTAGCTATGCAGTCACGGTTTGTTGTTGATCAGAAAGGCTGCCGTAACTCTAGGCAGCTGTCTGTCTGTCAAGCAAACAGGCATCCTATATCGGCCCTGTATTCGTACTGTATCTACAGCTGCACACAATGACCAAGATTCGGCAACAACGTAATGGAACAGCCTCATATCCCCTGAAATTATGTAGAAATTAATTCCCGTAGTAGATAAATATAGTACAGTAGACACTAGCCGAGGGTATATACAGTATCCCGTCTTGGACAAACCGACAGCTGGACCATTCGTAGCTTCGTTCAGTTCGTAATGCGCCGTGCTCCGTTGCTGAGCCCCATGGAGAATTCTGACATGCAAAATGCTCAAAATGAAATTAAAACAGTTAAAGATGGAAACACGCTGCTTGATGTGCTCTCCCGCAAATGGCATCCTCACCTGCGGTCGTCCTCGGCACCCCCTAACCGCGCTATCACTCGGAAGATGTTGACGGTGAGATTCGCGGTCCATGCGAGAAGGCCGAGGAGCATAAACGACGCAAGAGCCTTGGCCAGCTCCCTGACCTCGTGGCCGCTAAAGGTGTGGTAGACGACATGCTCAAAGGCGAGGGCTGTGCCTGCCGCTTTGAATATAATGAAGACCAAATCGAGTAGGATGAGGGATGTTTTCGATTGTGCTGAGCGCAGGCCGAGTGGCTTCCCCGTGTATTCGTCCCATATCATGTACCCGTTGTACGGGATGGCCACGCAGTCCACGGCAACGGCAAAGACGGACTGCGTCCGCTCGGCGCCCTCGCCCAGCGCCCTGTCTTCGAGATCAAACATCTTGGCGGCGATTCCCAGGGCGATGATGGACATGATGATAACGGTCAGTCGGAAGAGCAAAGGGGAGAGGGAGCTGCGCATGGCTCGCTTCCACACGCGCTTGGAGAATGGGCTGCGTTGTTCATGTTTGTTCTCTGGCGGGTGCAGTGGCAATCGGGATGGCGAATTGAGGAGGGGCGGCATCTGGTTGAGGGCCTCGACGTCGACAATCTCGCTCTCTTGACCGCTGGGCCGTCCCCAAGCCGATGACCGTATGAATTCGGCCCAAGAGAGGGCGGGCTGTCTCCACGCCGCGGCATGGGAGGAGACAATGACGGGTTCGGCCGATCGAAGGTGATCCCATTTCCTCCCCCGTGCCGAAGCTCGTCCGTACTTGAACAGATGTGGAATGCGGCCGCGCTCGGATTGCGGAGGGCCCAGCTTGGGGTCTTCATCCCAGGAGACGAATCCGTCCTGTGAAACTCGCCGCTTGGGCTCCTGAGGCGTGGCATTGTGCTGCGGCGCGGTGGAGGGCCGAGGGGGGTTCAGCAGCCGCAGCTGCTCTTCGACGCTGGGGTCATGAACCTCATGATGGAGAGCAATCCAGGCTATATGGCATTGGAGAAATTAGCATTCATGCCTTCTTCGCCGGAGCCGCCGGCGCAACAGGGACGGCTTGCGTGTACTTACGAGGAATTGTCCTCACTGAACGTTGGCGAGCCTGCGTTCCGGCAAGTCTAGGCGAGGCTGAGAACGAGGTCGCAGCCGGATCTGGGGTGTGCGAGCTGTCTGTCAATCCCGACGCGGCGTCTGTCCTACCGTCTGGCTGCTGCGTGGGTGACGACATCGAATGGCGGCAGGACGAGTCGCAATAAGGTGAGATGAGGTAAGGCGAGGTGCGGTGGGATGACTAGGTAGGCAGTAGAATCCCAGCGGCCGATCATCAATCTCTGCACGCCGGACGCTGAGAAAAGTATATCTTTTGACGAGACGACGAGCCGAGCAGGCTGCGGGATCCGAGGGTTTGGCGGTTGGTTAGTTGTAGATTATGTACAGAACCGATCGGGTCAGAAACCGGCACGACTGCCGTCACAGGGACGCCGGTTTGGCCTGGAGGTGGGATCTAAGGCGATCTAAAAATGAGTGACGACGATACACATATAGTAACCGCAGCTAGGGAGGAATGGGTGTGAAGCTGGGAAGAAGGCGGGAAGCACGCGGTGGGTCGACAGGCTGGAGAGATGCTGAGCTCATGGTCACACGCTTTCGAGGCGCAATTTCTGGGCAAAGAGACATGCACGAGGTCTCCGGGAAAAGGGAACGGGAGCCTTGATTGCGGGAACCTTGGACCTGGGCTTGAACCTTGTACCTGAACCTTGTCTGGATCCTTGAACTGCTCAATTGTACCTGAAGGAGACTGGACGCTTTGTTCTTCTATGCCTGAACAGGGGCGGGAGATGGCTGGGGCTGGGGCTTCTTACCTGAATGGAATCGCTCGGGAGCCTAATGAAGAAGAACTAACATGCCTGGACCTGGAGTAGTAGCTGAGGCTGGAAGAATCAGCGTTTGCCTGCAGCTGTGCAGTGCCCCGTAACAATGGGATGATCGGATGAATGAAGCAGGGCAGGGAGAGAGGAAATTGAGTCAAATGGGACAAAAGAGGCGCTGCTGCTAGAGCCCCTGCTAGAGCCGGGGAGCGTTAGCGGTGGTGCGGCTGGCGCTGGTTTCTGCTGGGCCGGGTCGGGTTCCGAGTACCGAGTACTTGCGCATGAGCTGAACTGAGCTGCGATTTACTCGTATGAAGGCATCATGTCCAACACGGACTCAATTGCGCATGCTTGACACATCAAATGGCTTTGCATTGCTACGAATCACAGGAAAGCGCCGACAGGACAGCCAATGGCACGAAATCATCCGAGCAATGGACTGAGCCGCGCGACTCGCATGTGCTCAGCCTCTGATTCGGGCGCATTGATCGCGAATTCGTCCTCGCGCAGGCCCATCAACAATGACGTTGCACCTCGTGTAGCCTGTACTTGCTACGTCACCTGACTGCGCGCGCCTGTTCTGTTGCTGCCAGACGCGCGCAGCTCCAGTTGCCGTCACTGTCGCTTGTCACTGTCGCTGCTGTTGCTGTTTTTATCATGGCGGCAGGGCTTTTAGGCGCCGAGTGTCGACGCAGCGCTTGATGGAGCTTTTGGGTCTGTTTTGATCGGGCTGGAATAGTCGATGCAAGATCTTAGTTCCTTATCTGGCAGGCTGAAGAACTTCGTTTTTTTTTCTCCTTCTCCTCTCCCTTCGGTTGTTTTATGCGTGTGTGGCTCTTCCCTCCCTTCCTTCCTTCTCTTCCCCTCCGAGCATTTGTGATGTCAGGTTAATTGATCTCATTTTTTTCTTCTTTTATTTCTTGCCTTTTTCTCTAGTGCTTGCCCTGTCACCGCTTGGCGCTTCCTTCCTTCCCAAACCGCCAGCTGGGCACCGACGACTCCTCTCTTCTTCGCGATTCTTCCGTCACGCAGCAGCTCTTCTTCTCCTCTTCGCTTCTTCATCCCAAGGTACAATCAGAAAGTCACCAGCGCGAAGCTCTTTTCATCTCCGTCACGACGAGCGAACCCAACTTGGAACTGTGCCAGCACAAGGAAGCTGAACTACAACGTATAAAGCACACGCGCCGGGCGCTTTGCATTGGGCATGTGGGGGACCAGAGAACAAAATCCAAGCAAAATGCCAGCCTCGTTGAAGGAGCGATCAAGCCGGCTGCAGATGTTTGCACGCCTCAAGTCCGAAAGCGACGTCAAATCGAAAGAACACAACGACACAGCCGCCAATGGAATCGCCAACGGCAATGCGGTAGCGCAGCCAAGTCGCGAGCCGGAGCGCTATCAGAGCTCTGCTCCGATGCTCACGTCCGCCGCAGAACGGAGGGACTTGGCAGACAGCGCGCGAGTGCCTGTGCCTGGGGTCAACGGAAACGCTCGCCAGCCTACCAGTCATCAGCGGAGATTCAGCCAGCCGCCCCCCGAGTCGGTGCAGCGATCCCATTCGCTGTCCCCCGCCAGTCAACATCGCCACATGGACATCTTCACGGGCTCCCAATTAGGCGACAGCTTTATGAATTCTGGCCTAACCACGCCGCTGTACGAGCCATCCGAAGCCGACCACGAACCGCTACCCGACAGGAAGAACGCTGCTGTTGCTGCTCCTGCGCCCGCTCCTGCCATCATGGGACCTGCCACCACCAGACCAGCGGCCCCTCGCTACAACTTTGACAAGAGGTTTCTCACCAGCGACAATGCCACCTTTCAAATTGGGGAGGATCTCCTTATGCGGGTGGTCCCGGGGACCAGGAATCACAACCCTACCTATATGAATGATGGCTTTAACAGAGCTGTCGTCAATGGGTACAACAAGCCAGCGGGGCACTACCGAACGAGCTACACTCGGCCAGAACCGATGCCGGAGAAGCCACCCAACTTGCCCGTGCGCGAGGTAAAGATACGGCCCATGTCAAAGCCGAGGCAGATGGAGTACGATCTTGGACAGAAGAGGAGCTCGTCCCCTGCCTTTGCGAGCAGAGGGCGGCCAATGAGAGGTAAAGAGGACGATGTACGCCCTATGAGCAGGTTCCGCGAGATTGAAGAGGTAGAAGAAGAAGATAGGAGGCAAGGGGGGTTTGACGAGGAGGAGGATGGGGATTTCGACGATGGTACTTCTACCGTGGGCGGCCACCAAGATGGCCATGCGACCCCGAGATTAAGACGGCATCCCATGTCACCACAGCGAGCTCTGGAGAGCGCCATAGCCAACACCATGCAGCCGTTTCGGCCATCTGCGCCAAAGGGCAATAAACGCAGACGGGAGAGCCTCGACTACGACGACATGGCTCTGAGCAGCATGAGCTATACCGAGCTCCAGAAAGAGCCTTTTGACTTTGATCCATCCAAGGCGCCAACGCACGTCGGCTCGGGCGGCGCTGCGGGCTCTGCAGACACGCTCAGCGCGAAGCTGGAGCAGTACCAACACCAGAGCGAAAAGGAGCAGCGCGCCCTATTTCGAAACATGAACGTGGACGACTGGGAAGAGGCGGGAGACTGGTTTGCCGACCAATTCCACGAGATCATGCACAAGCTGCGCGAGGCCAGGCGGAACAAGCGCCGGATGATACAAGAGTTTGAGAACGAGGCGGCCGATCGGGAGGCGGCAGTACGGCTGCGAACGGAGGCGATTGAGCGGAAGCTGGCCAAGATGAAGCAAGACGGCCAACGTGTGGTGACTCCGAATGAGGCGGCGGCTGGCAGTGGCCGTTGATGGCCCCCCTCTACTTGAGCAGAAGCTGCGGTTTGTCGGCCATGTCATTGAAGCAGGAGTTTGGAGTTCCTATGTCACGATTTCTTGTTTCTCCTTTGTCTCTTTCTGCAGGCTTGGTGGTTGGGATGGGCAGCGCTGGCCGTGGCCTGCTACACTCGAGCCTCACGACGGGACGATGGCGCTGGCGGATAATGACTTAATGAGATAGAGATTGATTGCATGACGGGATATAGTGGAATGACTTGGCTGAGATGGGCTCATCTTGTGCCATATGAAGTCTACATGTTGCCAACAAATGAAGCCACGGGTATCTATCTCTCTTCTTCCCCCTTTCTATGTGATGTCCTGAGAGTCCTAGTCTAAATGGTAACAACCTGCTTCACCTTTCTATCCCGCCCAACCACCATCCTCAACTGCGCCCCAGGCCTATCCTTGAACAGCCCCTCCCGTAACCCTTCCGAATACAGCTCATAAGCAGGATAATACGCGTCAACAAACTTGACAACCTGCTCCTTTGTCATGCCAGCGTTGGGATCACCCCTCGCCAGCCGAAGATGCTCTTCCTGTTCAAGCCGCCACTCATACACGTACTCTGTATCCTCCGCATCAATATGAATCAGTGCATCAAGCAGACTGTTGATCACGTCATCGTATTCACGCAACTTCTCGTTGACGGCGAGGAGATGCTCCAGGCGGTGGTTTTGCAGCGTCCGGCTGGGCGAAGAGTGTTTCTGGGATACGGCTGAGGCGGAGAGGGGACGGAAGCCGATGCACCAGCCTTCGAGGATGACGACCTGGAGAGGGTTGCTGGTGTTGACGTGTTTCCACAGATGAGGGGGGAGACGGTCGCCTTGGCCGGAGAAGAGGGCTTTGTCGTATTGCGGGATGGAGGTGGGTGCGTGGGCGAGGAGGGAGGTGAGGACGGATTTGAGGAGGGGGATGTCGTGGGTTCCTTTTTTTTTGGGGGGGATGTTAGTTTTGTTTTTTGGGGGGGTTTAAGACGGAGTGAGTGAGTGAGTGAGTTGAGTATCTGCTAAGTTGATGTATATCTGGTGGTTTCATTTATGTATATGGGTATGAGTTGGTGCGCATGTATGAGCGTTGTTCTTTTTTTACAAAGTGTGCAAGTGAGTAAGATGAGAGTTGGGTGTGTGATTTTTAGTTGAGGAAAAAACACATACCCGGCTCCCCGCGAACCTGCCACAGGGCATTATCCGGATTCTCCCTCGCCAGCTTGACCTGCTCCTCGTGGGTGAGATAGAAGTCGTCGATGCTGCACACGAGGGTGGGGACGCCCTGGCTTGCGAGGGCTTCGGCGAGGGGGGCGACGAGGGTGGATTTTCCGACGCCTTGGAGGCCGTTGAGGCCGATGATGAGAGGGCGAGGAGGTGGTGGAGGTGGGTGATTTTTGTTATCCGACGAGGAGGAGGAGGAGGAGGAGGCTTGCTGGTGGAGGGAGAGACGGTTGAGGATGAAGGGGATGCATATTGGGGATTTGTCGTCGATGAATTGGGGGGCCATGATTAGTATCTGTTTTTTTGGGAGGGTTATGATAGGCTATCAGAGGCTGTTGGTTGAATATGAGGCTTTCTTCTGAGCATGAGTGCCGCTTTATGGTGTGGGTTGGAGGTAGGAGAGTGTGTAAGAGGTACGAGGAAGGTACTTTGTTATTGCAAAAGAGGTGCTTCGGCGTGGGAAAAGCGGGTTTCTGGGGTTGCTTGGCTTGTGAGTTGATTGGGGTTGGGCTTGTGGGGAGAGCAGACGAGGGGATGGACTGAGGTCAAGCTGTATGGGCCTGGAGCCGTTACGAGTTGCGAATACATGCCAGGTACTTTGAAGAATTCAAAGCCCGTCATCCACGATAGGCCAGGCAATGCAACAAGCCATGGCTGACCGAAACACGTGAAGGTATCCCGCAATGCTCGTCCCGCCTCATCCATCAAGCCCCGACTCGAAAAGCATGTGAACAAGCGTCTCCCTCCCCCATATCCCGCTTCCGGACTAGCGCCTCCCCCGGCCTCTTTTCCCAGCCTTTAGCCTCTAAACTCGGCTCGGTACAAGGCGCGGTTACGGTGTACAAGCAACCAGGTACCTCCACGCTCTCGTACCCGCACCGAGAAGCTCAAGCCGAGGCATCGACAGCCGATCCGTCCGCATTTCTTAAACACGGGTGACTGTCTTGTCTTCTCGGCCTCTTTCTGCATCTTCTCGCATCCTCCTCTTCTCTCTCCGTCTTTGCTCCTCTACTGTTGTGCTTGACCAACTAGATACCCCTTTCCCTTGGTTTCCTCTCTTTCCGTCCTGCTCAACCCGCTGTCTTGACGCCTCAACACCACCACCGCAACCTCACACACAGCAACTGCCGACGTCATGGCTGACCAGCTGCGATACGACGGCCAGGTGGTTGTCATCACCGGCGCCGGCGGCGGCCTGGGCAAGGCATATGCCACCTTCTTCGGCTCGCGCGGTGCCAGCGTCGTCGTCAACGACCTAGGCGGCTCCTTCAAGGGCGAGGGCAACTCTACAAAGGTGCGATGACCCGAAACTGTCCCCAGCAAGACAGCTAAGCTAATCTTTCGTTTCTTGCAGGCCGCCGATGTCGTCGTTGAGGAAATCAAAAAGGCCGGCGGCAAGGCCGTCGCCAACTACGACAGCGTCGAGAACGGCGAGCGCATCATCGAGACGGCCATCCAGGCCTTTGGCCGCATCGACGTGCTCATCAACAACGCCGGCATCCTGCGCGACGTCGCCTTCAAGAACCTCAAGGACGAGGACTGGGACCTCGTCATCAAGGTCCACGTCACGGGCGCCTACAAGTGCACCCGCGCCGCCTGGCCGCACTTCCGCAAGCAAAAGTACGGCCGCGTCATCAACACGGCGTCCGCGGCCGGCTTGTTTGGCAGCTTCGGGCAGACCAACTACTCGGCTGCCAAGCTGGCCATGGTTGGCTTCACCGAGACGTTGGCGAAGGAGGGTGCCAAGTACAACATTCTGTCCAACGTCATTGCCCCTATTGGTATGATGAGCTTCTTGCTATTTTCCTTTTGATATCTAGATAGAGAGGAGGGGATTGTGCTGACCTAGAGATGCAACAGCCGCCAGCCGCATGACAGAAACCGTCATGCCTCCCGACGTCCTCAAGGCCCTCGGCCCCGAGTGGATTGTGCCCCTCGTCGCCGTCCTGGTCCACTCCAACAACACCACCGAGAACGGCAGCATCTTCGAGGCCGGCGCCGGCCACATGGCCAAGCTGCGCTGGGAGCGGTCCAGCGGCCTGCTGCTCAAGGCCGACGACTCGTACACGCCCGGCGCCATCCTGAAGCAGTGGAACAAGGTCGTCGACTTCTCCAACCCTCAGTACCCCTCCGGCCCCAACGACTTCATGACCCTGCTGGAGGAGTCGATGAAGATGGGCCCCAGCGAGCAGGGCGAGAAGCTCGACTTTACCGGCCGCGTCGCCCTCATCACCGGCGCCGGCGCGGGCATTGGCCACGCTTATGCTCTGGCTTTTGCAAAGTACGGCGCCTCGGTCGTCGTCAACGATCTGGTCAACCCCGACAACACCGTCGAGGAGATCAAGAAGCTCGGCGGCAAGGCCGTGGGCGTCAAGGCGTCTGCCGAGGATGGCGATGCCGTGGTCAAGGGCGCCATCGATGCCTTTGGCCGCGTCGACATTGTCGTCAACAACGCCGGCATCCTGCGTGACAAGGCCTTCACCAACATGGACGACAACCTGTGGCACTCGGTCATGAACGTGCATCTGCGCGGCACGTACAAGGTCACCAAGGCTGCTTGGCCCTACTTCCTTAAGCAAAAGTACGGCCGCGTGATCAACACGACGTCTACATCTGGCATCTACGGCAACTTTGGCCAGGCCAACTATGCCGCTGCTGTAAGTTTTTTTTTTTTTCTTCCCTTTTTCCCGCCTCTCGTAACGTGTATGCATTCTAACACAACATGACAGAAATGCGGTATCCTCGGCTTCTCTCGCGCCCTGGCCCTCGAGGGCTTCAAGTACGGCATCTACGTCAACACCATCGCCCCCAACGCCGGCACCGCCATGACGGCCACCATCATGCCCAAGGAGATGGTGGACGCCTTCAAGCCCGACTACATCGCGCCCCTGGTGCTGGCCCTGAGCAGCGACAAGTGCCCCAACCCGACGGGCGGGCTGTACGAGGTGGGCAGCGGCTGGTGCGGCAAGACGCGGTGGCAGCGGACCGGCGGCCACGGCTTCCCCGTCAACAAGCCGCTGGTGCCGGAGGAGGTGGTCAAGCACTGGGACGAGATTGTCAACTTTGACGACGGCCGGGCGGACCATCCCGAGAAGGCGCAGGACGGCCTGGAGAAGATTATGAAGAACATCGAGAACAAGGTATGAGAGGACCTTTTTTCTCTCTTTTTCTCTCCTTTTTTTGCATCATCATATGCCCTCTCTTTATTTTGGATATGTACAGCATGTCATGTTGGGAGCAGAACTTGTATCACCACCACCGCCACCAATCTTATCTATCAACCAATCCCCCCAACCTTGTATATACTGGATCATTAGTTCCCAAAGATGAAAGAAATGAAATCACACACAAGTCGAAACGCACGGAATGCTTCCATTTTTAAAAGTAAGAACGTTGTGCTAATCGGTGATTTTATCGACTTTCTTTGTCCCCTTAGGCTCAGGATGATTCAACTTCTTCTTCTTCTGCTGCTGCTGCTGCTGCTCCTGCAGGCAACGAGTATCTCGCCGCCATCGCCGAGGCGCTCAAGAAGGAGGGCGAACCCACCGAGTACAGCTTCACCGAGCGAGACGTCATTCTGTACAACATTGGTGTAGGAGCCAAGCGAAAGGAACTCAAATACGTCTTGTAAGTCGTTATCTCCTCCCTCTCCAATCAGCAAAAACAGCTCTCTTAACCGTTTTTCTCTTCTCCCCCACGAAACAGCGAAGGCGCAGAAGACTTCCAGCCCCTGCCCACATTCGGCGTGATCCCCCCCTTCTCCGCCGAAACGCCGTTTGACTACGACGCGCTCGTGCCCAACTTCTCGCCCATGATGCTCCTCCACGGGGAGCAGTACCTCGAGGTGCGCAAGTTCCCGCTCCCCACGTCGGGCAGGCTCGTCTCCCGCGCCAAGCTCCTCGAGGTCGTCGACAAGGGCTCCGCGGCCGTCGTCAAGACGGGCATCACGACGGTCAACGCGGAGACGGGCGAGCCCGTCTTCTACAACGAGATGACCGTCTTCCTGCGCGGCGCCGGCGGCTTCGGCGGCGCCAAGAGGGGCGCGGACAGGGGCGCCGCGACGGCGGCCAACGAGCCCCCCCAGCGCGCGCCCGACGTCGTCGTCGAGACGCCCACGGGGGAGGACCAGGCGGCGATTTACCGCCTCAGCGGCGACTACAACCCGCTGCACATTGATCCCGGGTTCGCCAAGATGGGGGGCTTCAAGGCGCCGATCCTGCACGGCCTGTGCACGTTTGGCATCGCGGGCAAGGCCGTGTACGACCGGTTCGGCCGGTTCAGGAACGTCAAGGTGAGGTTTGCGGGGCCGGTGATTCCGGGGGAGACGGTGGTGACGGAGATGTGGAAGGAGGGGGACAAGAAGGTTGTGTTTCAGTGCAGGGTGAGGGAGACGGGCAAGTTGGCGATTGGGGGGGCGGCGGCGGAGCTTTTCTGAGGGGGGAGGGGATGATACATAGTTGAGGATTGGTGGTGGTGATGATGATATAGGGGGGGTTAATGAGAATCATGTAACAACATTGAATATTCTATGCGTCAAAGCTAGATTGCCAACTTTTTCATGTCAATCAATATCCATTTCATCAAAATCTGTGCGAAGAGGGGGGAAACAAGGAAATCAATCTATCCATTTCATCTCGACGTCTCTTGAATCGACACAACGCTCATGCCAAAAGAATGCAATTCCCAGTTTCCCAGCCGCCTGATGAAAGAGAAACAAGGGCCGACAAACCCAAGCAAATGAATAAATCGAAGAAAAGAAACAGTAAGGAACCGCGAGAAGAAATGCCCGTATCTTGCATCATAGATAGTAGTGGTACGCAGAGAACGATTCGAGGCATAGGCAAATGAACAAATGGGCAAGGAGAAATTGAAGAGAGGAGCGCCGCCAATAAAGCAAAAAGAAAATCGTAGCATCCAAGTCATGAATAGTCAATGCTTTCTCATCCCCCGCCTGTGTCATTTTACACGAGAACCATCTCAACAACGATATCCAAAACCTCCCCCAGCGAAGGCATCCGACCCGCCGCGAGAATCTGCTCCACGCTGCCCATGCCCGTCGCGCGCGCCGCAATGCCCGTCTCCAGAAACGCCTTTTCCGGCGCCGACAGGTCCCTCTTCTCCGTGTCCTTCCACTTCCGCTCCGCTTCTTCGCGGGCTTCCTGCAGCACCTGGTCGACATTCTCCGACTCCCACAGATTGCACCGCTCGCACTCGAGACACGGCCGCGGATCGCCGTCGGGCCGGAAGTGGTCGCAAAAGTGCCGGTACCCTTCCTCCGTCAGGTCGGCGCGGCAGACGTAGCACATCTTGTAGCCGCAGGGGCAGGTGAGCTTGTTGCAGCCCGCGTTCTTGACAAACGACGTGTTGCACCGCGGGCACACCCGCTTGATGGCCATGCTCATGGCCTGCTCCACCTGCGTCCGCAGCGCAACCAGAGAGGACTCGTTGCAGACGTGGATGTCCGTCCAGACCTTGCTGCACGACAGGCAGGACACGCGGCCGCACTCGGGGTTCTGGCACGAGAATTGCAGCCCGCGCCGGCGCCGGGAATGCCTGCCCAGGGCGTGCCTCCACTCCGTCGATAGTTGCGTCCACAACGTTCGCCAGGAGGTGAAGGTCAAGGCAACGCCAAACGATACAACAGCTAGGGGAAAGACGAGGACGACGCATATGAAGCAAAAGAAGAGGAACAGTAGGTGGATGACGCCAGCAACCCTGATCCGCATCTTGGTCTTTTCATAGGGCATGTAGATGTCGTCAATCTCGGCGTAGTTGCAGAACGGACAGTGTACCAGCGGTAGCCTTGCAGCAAGCAGGGCATGTTCCGCAAGCCGCTGGTCGAGCTGGTGTAAGATCTCGGCCCCCTTCTTCTCTTCCAGCATGGCCCTGCGCATGTGCTCGGACGAGATATATCCAGGGCACTGATCGCGACCGACAGCCATGCATCTTAGTGTTCCCATTTCGGGAATGATGCTGCTTTGCCAGCCCTGGCCAAAGACGGCCTCCTTGATGGAGTGCTGCACGCAGCGGAAGCAGATCATGTGTGCGTCCTTGTTACAGTGGGTAAACTCCTCAAAGGCGCCTGTCGTAAAGCAGCACATGCACTCATGGACGGCGCCCGCCTCTTCGGCCTCCTCGTTGTTCAGCAGCACGGCAGCCGCGCGGTCTTTGGCCTCTCGCTCTTCTCTCTCCTTTTCCTTCAACGGGCGAATGAGCGCATCGTACAGCTCCCGGTCGAGCTCGGCGTTGCCCGTAGATCGTATCGTAGGTATGTTGGAGCCCTGACCGTTTGTGCGCCAGCGGACAAGGGGGTGGTTCTCCGCCTCGCCTGTTGCCACGGGCTTCCGTCTCATGAAGATGGACGAGATGGTGAAGCGCCACGACTTGGATGACAGCGTCACAAGGATCCTCCGGGCGTCCAGGTAGGAGTAGTTGGACTCGGCAAGCACCGCATTGATTGTCGACTTGGACAGGCCTTTAAACTCCTGCCACGCAAGCGTCTGAACCGCCTTCTTGTACTCGTTGCTTCGGAAGATCTCCGCTCTCGGTACCGTTCGATAAGCAGGCCCATTCGCATCCGCTTCCGCTTCCGACTTGGCCCTGTCCCGTTGCTTGTCGCCATTCCCCGGCTGCTGCAGTCTGTTGTGGCTCTGCGGACCGGCAACCTTCCACCTGCCCTTGACCCAAACGGCACCATTCTTCAGCAGCGCATCCGCCACCAAAGCAAGCCTCGACTCGCCATCAAAGTTGCCCAGCAGCTCCCGAAAGACTTCAATCTGGACGTCGGGGAACACGGCCGCCAGGGCCTCGAGCCCGCAGTTGAGCTCGCGCAGGTCTGGGCGCTCGGGCGGGATGCATGGCAGCTGGGCCTCGTCGTGGATGAACTCGGGCGGGATGTCGCCGTCGACGGCAGGCACCGAGCGCGCCTTGCTGGAGGACGAGCCGATGGGGGACGACCTATCGCTGGAGGAGAGCAGCGCTGGCAGGGGCATGGCGGCTGCTCATGCTGGAGCGGCGCCCTGTGGCATGGGCCGGGATTTGTAGGTTGAGGGGGATGACGAGGGGTTTCTTTGATTCTCCGCCCTTTCTCTGCCTTCTAGCCAGGTGCTGCGGTTAGGGCGGGATGGAAGCGTTGACCGCTGCGGGAGGAGAGATAATGAGGAGCAATAGGGACAATCTCTAGGGATTCGTGTTGAAGATACAGATGGCGATACTAGCAGGTTGGTGGAGTCGTTACGTGGGATTGAGTTGAGCCAGACCCCGTAGCTGCGCGCCTTGTGGTGGGCTACTAGGTAGTGCGCTGCTCCCTGGCCCGTCCCTGACCGGTACCTCACTGCTTCAGTTGGAGCGTCCAGCATTGGTAAGCCTCCCGTGATGCCGCCGTACTCCATACCTGCCCGTGAGACAGGAATGCTGCTGCGCCTTGCCGTATCCTCTACTTTGATTCTACGCCAGAACAATCTGCATTGGTCATGGCAGCAATATTGCCGTGGTACTCGAGTGCGAAAACCTACCTCCGTCACGCAAACGGCGTCGGACACTCGTCCACCTCCTAATATGCGATGGTGATACCCTACATCTGCTGGTTCCGAACACGTCCACATAGTATATCCTACTGCCTGCAACACGCTTTGGTTATGTTGCGCAACTAGCGGCTGTGGAATGGGAGATTGATTGAATGTCAGAGTAAAGGTGACAACAGGCATGCAGGCAAGGGTGAACTTCAAAATGACTTCTTGAAGTAGATGGGAGTTGACGATACTCCCCGAGAAGCCAACTAAAAAGGCTTCCCATCGGTCCGTCACTTCTTATACCATTCACAATAACAGAACGTATCAAGCAGGCATCATAAATAGATTGCATTCATCGCAAATCTCGTACTAGTATCTGTTAAACCCACTTGTATTTCCTTCCGTCAATTAACAAACCTCCCTTTTTGGCCACCAACCACGGGGGTATCTAAGCACATAATACTAGGCAACTTCTGTCTGCCGCCGTAAATCCCTTCATCATCTCAAATCGCACGTGGGTACTGCATAAAACAATACAGGTCGAGCCGTTCACTCGTAATCGCTCATGAGCCCAAAGATGGACGAGCCAGGGTGCGAATCGCCGCAGCATGGACAGATGCGATCGTCGTCACTATCCCAGACCGATTCCTCAACCTCATAGCCGTTAAGTCGGGAGAACTGAATCCAGATGCGCTTGTCCGACTCGCGGGCGACGGGAACCTTCTTCCAGATGACTCTCTTCTCCTCGCGGGTGGAGGCAGGATGGCCTTCCTCGGAGGGGGCAGCGGGCAGTGTGCCCACCTTGTGGTAGCCCTCGAACGAATGCAGGTGAAATTGCTCGTCGTCATCATCTTCACCGCCGAACCCAAGGCCTTCTTCCTCCATTTCATCCTTGAGATCCTTGTATGCTCTAATCACCCGAGCACACCAATTATCTCCCGAGAGGCTCTGCAGACCCTTGGGAAGGGCGATGAAGGCAGCAGATGCATCAAGATAGAGGCCCTCATCCTTCACCAAGCCACTGAGCTCGGCAGAGGCTTTCATGCCGACATCATCAAATGGCATCCCAGTTACCTGAAGCTCGTTCAAGGTGCATCCCAGCTCATGAGAGGCTACCTCGTGGAGCTCAGATCCGGAAAACGGCAGTAGGGAGTCTGAGAAGTTCACCAAGTCGAGCCGCAACGACGACAGTGACGGGAGGAGCCTTGGTCTCGGATTCTTCTTGTCCTTGTAGTTCGGATCGTAGGGCGCACGTAAAGCCAGGAGGAAATCGATGACTTGGTTCCAGGTGTAGCAGCGGAAGCCGCCGCGCACGAGAGGCGACTCCTTTGGGCGCATTTGGATCTTGAGAGGTTGATCCCTCTTCAGATCTGGGTGATAGTAGCGTTCAAGCTTGTGCCTGCGGCGCTGATCATCGTAGTAACGGGCAATGATGCGCAAGTTGATGTGCAAAATCTTGTGCCGATAGTGGAAGCTGAGCTCACCGAAGTTGCGTAGAGCCTGAGGGGTGGTGAAGACAAAGTGGTTTGACTCCCAGAAGATCCGGGTGCCTTCGGCATGCATTGCTTTGCATGTTGCCAGGAAGTGGATGGCGACTTGGTTGCCTCTCTTCTTCTCTTCGTCTGTAAGGTTCTCGGCCGTGACAGGGCTGAGAGGGTCAATGATGGGGTATTTGCTCTTCATGGCAAACTTGAGAACTCGCAAGAGGACCTCGGTGGGTAGAAACGGCGAAGCCGGATCGCCAAGGCCGGCGGCGGTGGATGATCGGGTTTTGCGCCTCGTAGGGTCATTTTGATTCAGATGATTCTGCGCCAAAGGTGACCATGAGATGCCATTTTCGCGAAGGATCCGCTTGAGCCTCATGTTCTCCTCGACCAGCAGCTGGTTGGTTCGGCGGAGAGGATTGTTGTAGGCAGCCCATGCCTGATCTTCTTTGTCGCGGCATTCCCATGGAAACACAAGCTGTAGGGGCATTAACAATTGATCTGCAGAGTCGGAATAGCAGGACATGTTCCTTACCTGACCCGCCATCTTGCTGCGAATTCCGATGCGGCAACTGAAACGTTGAAAAAGGGGGTATATGGGAAACCTTCCTATGGAAGGTACGCAGAGCGGCGATGAGCCTTGACGACAGTTTTTGTATCAAATCTCAACGACAGTAAACACCGGACAAACAAGATGAGCCGCAAAACAGGGCTGCTGATACGCCGAATGAGATGACCCGAATGGAGATTGACGACCCGATACGATGCGCACGATAACAAGATGAAGAAGGGAAGAAAAAGAAGAAGTAGAGACTTGAGAGGTGTAAAGTTCACGTAGAAGTCGGAGGGAAAGACGAAGAAGGATACGGCACACAAGCAGCCAGCCTTGTGCGACTCAATGCCAGCTTAATTCTTCTCCTCCTGGGCCTTCTGCCGGCACTGTGAATGAAAGGGATGCCGGCTCCCGTAGCTGCTGGACAAGTGGCGGGCAGAGATGCAGGCCACGACTGACTCTGAATCACGGATGAAAGAGACGGTCAGGCAAGACGGCGACGAACACGGCGGCACTTGGGAACCAGCTGGCCGACGCCCGTTTGGGAGGGAAAAATGGCCAGATCGAGGATGATCCGGGAACTGTGCCAGGGGATGGAGATGAGGGACAATGAAGAGGATTGTTGAAGAAAGGCAAAGGAAGGCGGGAAATGGCACTTGACTCGCTATCTGGCGAGAGACGCGAGCCGCACAACCCGGAGAAGGATGAATGGCAATGACCGAGGAAGAGAGGAAGAGAAGGAAGAAGAAGAAAAGACGGGTATGGCGATGCGGCCGGCAAAAGGTTTGGGGAGCTGGGCGCAAACTACCAGCAAGAGCGAGAGATGGGGGTGGTTCCTGCCCGCCGACCGAGCTGATAAGCCGCCACCTCTTTCCCTGTGCGTGCAGACGGCCAGCAGACGATTAGGAGGAGGACTTTATCCGCTGCTGTAAGGCAGTAGCGACCTGGTACCTCCTAACCAAACCGAACTGTAGCAGTACTACAGGTGGTACTTTCCGCACGATCGTGCCTGCCAAAGCTCGTTTGGTGGGAATAAACGGCGCACCGGTAGAAGAGCGCGGGGAATGGGAAGGAGCGGCCTCGAATTACGGCATCCGCGGCGTGGGTTGGCAATTTGGGCATACAGTGGCAGGTGCAAGCTCAAGCTCGGCGGTGCTGTGTTCTTGCCGAACGACGCGACATCAGGTGACGAGCTGGGCTGTCAGCGGCGGGAATTTCTGGAGCTCAACCACTGGAGACTGGGGACGTGCAAAAAAAAAAGCATTGGTGATCAAGGCACTGCTACGGCTATCGCTGCTTGATTTGAAGGCGGTCCGATCCCGGTCTGTGGTGAGTTGGCTCGTCATCAAGCATTGGAGGAAGCATCTCGGCCGTTGAAGCTTGGCTATGGAGGAGCTAGCCGAGTGTTAGGTACCAAGTAATAAGCACAAAGAGAGCTCCCAGCGGCCGTCTGCCTTGAACAAATAGCAGACATCGACAATTGGAGCTTGCTGCACTGCTCCATGTAGGTCTATCGCAGCTCCAATCGTAGCTGCCCAAGTCTCGGCACTCGGGTTCGTTGGTTGTCAGATTTCGCACCTGAATCAAGCAAACAGAGACGTCCGCATTGCAGTGACCTCTCAGTCCTGATCCGGACAATGGGGAGCCCCACAAAACAACGATAACCTCCAGGGTAGCAGGATGGCAACCAGGGCGTTTGGTGGAGGATGAGATCGAATGACGAGATAAACTCTTATTTTGGCTTGAGCCGATCCCCAGCTGGATCAATATGCTATTGGACTCTTCAGGGAATCCGATTGCTCGATGAGTCCAGCCTGTCATACTTGTCTTGGTACTTGCAGCCTGGTGGCCAAAAGGCCACTGCTGTAGGTATCTTCCTGACGTCATGCTCCTTGCCCTCACGTAGCAGCTCTCGCCTCATGACACTCGACAAAACTCCAAGTTACGTATATATGATGAAGGTGGTGTATCATAACAGGGTTCTGATACCGTGATGACCGTGACTTTTCAATACGCCGCATGATCTATAAAACGAGAGCTATTAGCATCGAGATCCAAGCTTCATTGGAGATCTAAACCCCCAAGGTTTGCACTCGCATTTCAGCACCTGTATTCGACTTCGAAACTGAATCGTCTCTATATCCATCACAATGTCGTCTGAGAACAAGACCGCCGACCCGTACACCAGCGTCAACAAAGATGACGCCGATCTGCAGACCAAGGTCACTGACCTCGTCAACTTCATCACCAAATGCAAGTTTGGCATGATGACAACCGTCGAGGCTGGTTCATCTCAGAACAACCTGGTCTCCCGCTGCATGGCTATTGCCGCCACAGTACGTGGAAATGCGCCCTGAATTCCGTCGACCACCTATTCACTTACACCAACAGGAGTCCGGAGGCATCGACCTTCTCTTCCACACAAACAACGAGTCCGGCAAGACCCACGACCTATCTGACGACCCCCACGTCAATGTCGCCTTTATCAACAGCTCGGGCGAGTGGGCGTCCATCTCCGGCCAGGCAGGCCTCGTCAAGGATCGCGAGCTGGTCAAGAAGACGTACAGCAGCAGTCTGAAGGCGTGGCTTGGCGACCTCGGCGACGGCGTCCACGACGGCTCGGAGAATGACCCCCGTATTGGCATTATTCGCGTCAAGACCACCAGTGTGACCTATTCGCTGCAGCTTGGCAACTTCATCAGCCGTGCTGCTGAGGTTGCTCAGGGTGTTATTACTGGAAAGACCGCCCAGGTGAACAAGCTGCGCGAGATTTCGGCGGAAGAGGTTGGATCGTGGCGTTCCTCGAATAAGTCAGAGTTTGAGAAGCTGTGAGGAAGGATACGATAAAACATGAGGAATAAAAAACGTGAAAATATGAAATAGTAATGACCCATGACATGTACTATTATCATCGAGGTTTAGCATGAATTGAAACGACTCTCTTTTTTTATACGAACATTGCACGCTCACTGCTGTCCATATTCCTCCTTCCATATCCTGTCCCACTTCTCCTTATCAATAGCAAATTCCCGCACGTAGTCACGCTCTAAATCATGAGCTCTCTTGCCCAGCAGGACAAGGCTATGCAGGGGCGGTCCCAGCTCCTCATCGGCGGAGCACAGCTCTTCCAATGTCCCCGCGACGAACTTTTCCGTCTTGCCGCCAACGCGAGCGGCGCCAATGGCCAAGCTGTCCTTGGTGTAGACGCCCTCTTTGCGCTCCTCTTCGATCTCGAGCATCTGCTGCGCGCACTGCCCCACGGTCATGTATCGCGGAGGCTCGTAGATGAGTCGGCCCCTGGCCATGTTCTCCAGGCTCTGCTCCTTGACCTTGATGTCGACGAGAACCAAAGTGTGTAGCCCAATGCTGCGATTTTCCTTTATCCGGTCGTAAAAGGAGGAGGGCTTCCACGTGTCGGTGAAAAAGACCATGGAGACGGTCTGGCCAAAGTTGTAGAGCTGCAGGCCGCAGGCTCCGATGCCCGACAATATGGAGGCGTTGGGTACGGTTCGCACAGGGATCTTCAGCTCGCGGGCTCGGATGACGAGATCGGTATGTGTAGTCGCTCTGTAGTTGACGTTTCGTCAGTTACGCCATAGCATGGGAGGGCGGATCCAGTCGAGGGGAAAACAAACCCAAAGGGATCTCCGACAACGCAAAAGGCGACATCCTCGGTCTGCGCGTCCCTGAGAATCTCGTCGCTGTTGGACTCGACCATCTCACGGTCGGCAACAATGATGGGCCGGCCATAGTAGCTTTCCTACTTTGAGAGTCAGCCGTTAGCTGTTTTTGCCAAAAGATGAGCATCCGAGAAGAATGTCGTCGCATCCCGCGCGCATACCAAGACAGACTGGTCCACGAGCAGAATGCTGGTGTAAGCCTCAAGGTAGACCCGAGACGCCTTCTTGACCACCTCGAGGCCCTTGACGGTGATGTCCGTCTCGTCAGAGAGACCGAGTCCCACGAGGTACAGCATCTTGGCTCGATTGACACATGCGAAACCGTCGTTGCGATCGAAATGGAAAACTTGATCGGAGCCGATAGATTTAAGAAGCTGCCCCGCGGTGGGGTTGACGATTTCTTATCTTAGCGCCGGCGGATCCTTGTCTTGCCGCTGACTGTCAAAAAGCATCGACGATCCGGTTTTGGTGTCGCGTCAACAAAGCCTTTTAGCATCTGCCCGGTCTTTGCGCCGGTTCTCCTATCCTTTGTGCAATTCATATTCCAACAGCGCAAAATTATCCATCGTCAACCATGTCCGACTCCAAGAGCAAAAGCGCCTACGGACAGGCAGCGTCCGACACCGACTTCCGCAAGAATTGGGATCTCGACGAATATGCGGCCAAGGCAAAGGAACGCGAGCAAAAGGAGCGGGAAGAGGGCAAGGCGCGCTACGAGGCCAAGCTGGCCGGCAAGAAGTACCACAAGCCCGCGACGGGCAACGAGACCTACACATCGGCGCGGCGGAACATTATCGATGTCAGCGCGCAGGTTGGAAAGACGCAGCTGGTGCCTGCGGGAGCGGGCGTTGGCAAACGAGGGCGAGGCGCCGGGTTCTACTGCGAGGCGTGTGATCTTACGTTCAAGGATAACCTGCAATGGGTAGAGGTATGCATATTGGAATTTGGCAGACGATGGAGCAGCTTTGGTGGTGAAAGTTCAGTGCTGATTGAGTCATCGCGCAGCATTTGAATACGACGCAGCATCTGCTCAACACCGGGCAGACGACCGAAGTCAAGCGAGCGACGGTCGAAGAAGTGCACGCGCGAATCGAGTACTACATTCGTCGGAAAGAAGAGCTCGAGAAGGAAAAAGCCACGAGCTTACAAGACAGGCTGCAGCTGAGAGAAGAAGAGATGCAAAAGGAAGCGGAAGAGAAGAGGAAGAAGCGGAGAGAGGAGGCGGAGAAGAAGCGGCTGGAGAAGGAGCAGGCGGCCAAGGTGAAGACGGAGTACGGCGACGATGTGCGGATTGAGGGCGAGCACGATGAGGACGATATGATGGCGCAGATGGGCTTTACCGGGTTTGGGACGTCGAAGAAGAAGTGATTATTGGTAGAATGAGGTGGAGGGGGATGCATTGGATGATTATATGATACCCAGATTGGAAGAGTTTGGTTGATTGTTTGTGTATGAGGATTTACAAGTAACACGAGTCAGCAGCATCTGAGCTAGAGATCATGACCAAAATACAGTGAATAGACTGCAGATTGAGAGACAAACATGTTTGCTTGGTGATAGATAAACACTAACATGTACTCACTGCTTCGACAATATCAAATGTCACCGAATCGAAGCACTCTCCAAATTGCCGGCCATCCAGGTTCAGGCCTGCCGGGAGTCGTGTGCCCACCCCAACCAGTGCCGGAACAGCGGACCTGTAGCCCCGCAACCCCTCCAGCTCCAAAAGCCTCCCGCCAGACATTGACTGGGCTGGACTCGCCCTTCGGTCATCCATTCATCAATTTCACCATTACCATTATTAGCAAGCTCTGACGCCTGCATATCCATTTCCTCACGACCACATCCTCTCCTCTTCCCGCCGCCTGCCCGCCCCTCACTTTCCGCTGAGATATTATATATCAGATCCATTCAACACCCCCCTTCTTTACTGTCGGCCAGCTCGTAAAAGATCGATACCATGGCTTCAGCCGGTGCCGCCGCCGCGTCGCTGCTGAAGCGCCAGCTCAAGGAAATCCAGACGGGCAAAGATCTCCCGGGCATATCCTGCGGCCTCGTCAACGATAGCAACATGTTCGAGTGGGAGGTGATGCTCATGATCAACGACGACTGCAAATACTATGGCGGTGCGCATTCTCCCTATCTTCCCGCCCCTTTGCTATCCCTCCATTCACAACCGCCATCCCTCTCCCGTCAAGGATGGGATGAAATGGGAAGAACACAACAAGCTGACACGGTGGTTTTTCTAGGAGGCAACTTCCGCGCCCGCCTCGTCTTCCCCGAAAACTACCCGCACATGCCCCCGTCCCTGACCTTCCAGGACCCGATCCCCTTCCACCCCAACATCTACGAAAACGGCACCCTGTGCATCTCCATCCTGCACCCGCCCGAGGAAGACCAGTACGGGTACGAGTCCGCCGCCGAGCGCTGGAGCCCCGTGCAGACGCCCGAGACGATCCTCCTGAGCGTCATTAGCCTCTTCTACAGCCCCAACGAGGAGAGCCCGGCCAACGTCGAGGCGGCGCGGATGCTGCGCGAGGAGAAGGAGGGCAAGCACAAGGAGTATCGGAGGCGGTGTCGGAAGTGCGTGAGGGAGAGTTTGGGGGAGGACTGAGAAGTGCGGTGGGCTCGGGGGGGCAACTGTGTATGAGGGGTGAGGGGGAGAGAGAGAGAGAGTGTGCGTGTGAATGTATGATGGATTTCGCTTTTAGTATATTATAAAAGCGTGGATGGCGTTTGGTGAGGGACGGGATGGCCCTGATAGCTTGCATTACTTGGCGTCTTGCGTTGAGAGGCTGGGCAATGCTCGACACATTTGTTGCAGATTGACAGCGGTATGAACAAGAATGTTTTATCACTAGCGACAGAGAGTGCAGACGTATAGAGTCTTTGGGTTGACAGTTGTACGGAGAGGTATGTTCCGGTGCTCTTATCCTATCGAGCTCGGCCTATGTGTGCTTGTTGGGTACCCCTAACAGTGGCCCAACGACGCTGTCCCATTCTTCGTCCCACCGGCGCGAGCCCTCCTCAATGGCGCCCTTCTTCAACCTCGCAAGCTCCTCTGCGCCTTCAAGGCTCAACAGCCGCTTCAGAATCTCGGTGAGCTCTGCCACGGTCTCGAAGCCGCAGCCATTCTGCCCTTCCTTGACCAGCTCCCCGATGCTCTCGAAGCCAGCATATGCGGCCACGGGAAGACCCGCGCCAAACATGTCCACCACCTTCATCGGGAGATCCACCCCGGAGCTGGATTTGTGCAGGGAGATGCCGAGATCGGCCGCGGCGAGGAGCGAGGCGTAGTCTCGGTTGGAAAGCCAGGCGCTGAGGATTCGGATGCCGGGGAGTCTGCCGCCGTCCTGGAGCTCCTTGATCTTGTCAAGGTAGGCTTGTCTCTGTGGACCCTTGCCGGTGATGATGGCGAGAATGGGTGGAACGTCTTCTTGTTCTGAGGTTGGCGTCGCGTAGGCGACCAGTGCATCGAGCAGCATGCCAAAGTCTTCATCCGCTGTCCACGAGGTGCTGCTTACTATCAGACGAAGAGTGCCGTCAACAATATTCCTGGCGTGATTCTTAGTCTCTGCCAGGCGTGATAGGAACTCGAGTCGAGCTGTTGGAGAAACCATAGGCTGGAAAATCTCAGCTGGCCGGTCGTGAAGGGTGTAGACGGGGTTCTTGAGGTTGAATCGACCTCCGGCCACCAGCTGCTTCGTCATGGCGTCTGTGACTGCGAGGTTTGCGTTTCCTAGGTAACGCCCAAGTTTCATTTCGTAAAGCTTGTAAAAGGGCACAAGAGGCCGGAGAAGAGACTTTTGTGCCAGGATGGTGTGGCCATAGTTGTGCCAGTCGACAATGACTTTGCTACCGCGAGCCCAGGCGACAAACAGCGCCACGTGAAACGTCGGTATAGATGGTGGATTCTACAGACTTGTCAGAATGAGGTCGAGTGCGAGGCTCGTAGACTTGATGCTACCTGAATGATGATCCACTGAGCAGGAGGGGCAGTGTACATGAGCGTTGCAAACAAGGTCCAAAATTGCTGGATGACCTTGGAGGGGATGTTGAGGAAGAAAGGCAGCGTGCCCCAGGCAATCCATTCAGGCTGGGGAGCGAGAGGATAGACAGTCACGTTGGGATTGCCTATGAGATCGGGGTGTCTGGCGGTTTCTATAAGTCCAGAATGAACATCAGTGAGCCTCATGTTGGCGCAATCAACCTCTAATGCCATGTCGGTCTCTCACCCTTGTAACCGACAATGTCGACCTTCTTCCCGTGCTTGGCAACGCTCAGGGCGTGGTACTGCATTCGCGGGCTCCTGCCAATGTCGCCCACGACCAGAATCTGAATGTGTTCATCCTCTGGCTTCTCTGCTGGCTGGTAGCGGGTGGGAATCATGTCAAGGGATTTCTTGCCCAGCCACAGGGCGAAGCTCCAGACGTAGCCGAGAGCAATGACGGACAGGCCGCCGAGGACTGCGGAGAGAGCGAACGAGATGTAATATGTGGTCGACATTGTGGCTGTCCTGGCCTTGAATGAGCAGTGCGCTGTTGGCGAGAGAGACAGTGACAGCTGTCCTGACCACGGGGGTGATGAGGCTTGTTTCCGTTATGCCCTCACACGCAAGGCGCCTCGATGCAGAGATGGGAGTTCTGAGGGCGCGAAAAGCGCTGCATGAGGACACAAAGCGCAAGTTGGGCGCATCCACTGGCGGTGCCTTTTGGTGTTGACTTGCGAATATGATACGCTTCAAGCTGCTGCCAGCAAGCTACATGTAAGCTGGAGGTTTTGATAACGCCATTTGGTGACTTTCTGTGGCGCAGCAGCGAGGTTGCCGAGGGTGCCATGTGGCTGGTGAGGGCCCTGCCGTCATCGCATGAATCCCTGTCCATCTGCCCAAGCGCCACATGCAATGGAGATCGTGGGGATGGATCCGATGGCCAATCAGTGCCGCCGCGATGCACGACATTGGGTCCTTGCGAGTCTGGCCCGTGGGAAGAATATCCCGTGGGCGAGATCTGTCCAATTGTCGGGAGACTGTGTGCTTCTAGCCAGCTGCAGGTATGGATCGGGTAGGGTGAGCTTCATGGCTGAATTAAGGTGCTGCTAGGCGTCTTAGCATGGAGTTGACAACTCGGCTTGGGCCATCACGGGGCTGCGTTTAGGTTTCTACCGGCGTTGGGCTGCGGCTAAAAGAGAGAGAGAGTTCGCTCATACCTTACCCTTCATGTTTAGAGGCCCCGGTTGACGCCTTGACCGCCATCGTCATTCCTCCATCTCGACTTGAACAGACGGAATCTACTCGCTTGACCTCGACTCGACAAATCGGCCCCCTTTCCAGACCGCCTTCCCTGTTGCGTCACCGTGATTGCAGCGACTGATCAGCCTGATCGTACCTCATCTCGGATCCGATCTGTCTCAGCTGTTGTTGGGCACAAACCACCAATTTCTCTCTGCACTTGATGAAAATGCCCGTGCCCTCGCGCCTCCATTCGCCAAGTACCGTCACTCCGTCATCCCCCCCCAACGACACACACACCCGGACAGCCTCGAACCCAAGATGCAGCGGGTATCGCGCCCTGTCCTGCTCCTGGTGCGACGGTACCTGCCGCTAATCCCGCGCTGATAAGGTCGCTAGCGCCCTCGCTGGCCCTCGCTGGCCCTCACTGGCTGCTGCTGGATCCCCCCCCGAACAGCGCCTCCACGTGCCCCGCAACCCTCCTGAAGTCGGTCACTGCGGTGCTCGAATAGCGCACCTTGGCAGCTGCGCCAGCGGGAAGTATTTTTCTCGGTGCTGCGAGGCGAGGCGAGTCTGGTTCCAGGCCGTCCACACGCTCCTCTGCTCTTCTCTGCTCTCCCCTTATTCGGCCTACCCAGCTTGGCTCCATCCTCGCCTTGTCTTCCTTTCAACAATGCAAGCTGGGGGGAAGGGGAACTGACCCTGTCCTTCTTTCTTGGGCCTCACACATTCGCTCGCTGTCGCTACGAGATCGCCTTGATCGCGACCAATTGCTCCGTCTGGTCGCTTCACAGCGCTTGATGCGGCTGTCGCTGGTTGATCGCGAGACGCATCTTTCGTAAAGCGACGAGGCAGCGCGTTCGTTTGCGGCGTTTGGCCAATCACCGACTCGAATAGAAGCAGAATCTCCCGGCTCGACGACCACGAATCGACCCGAAACCATGGACACAATGGAAGCCACTTATCCCATGCCGTCGGCATTGCCGCACACGCACACGCACCGGGTTCACACGCAGTCCCAGCCGGCCTCGCTCAGCGCCTGGCGGATGACGGTATCGAGCGAGACGCTGCCCTCGCAGCTGGAGGACGACGAGGACCGAGGCCGGCATCATGACGACCATGACGGCCACGAACACGATCACGACCACGAGCACGGACACAACTACGACCACGGACACTCACACTCCAATTCCCACTCCCACGCCCGCTCCCAACCGCGCTCGCAGACCTACTCCATACCGCCGCCACTGCCTTCGCCCTCTCACTTGCACGCGCACTCGTTCAGCTTTCCCCGCCATGGCCACAGCAACTCGCAAGCCTCCAATGCCAGTTCTACCTCGCTATCAGAGAAACCGTCGGCAGGAGGAACGGGGAACTGGTCCCAAGCAAGGAGGAGCCGCTATACGCCCGAAGCTATTGACGAATTCAGTCACAACCACGATCACGACCACAGTCATGATCACGCTCACAGCCACCCCCACACGCACTCCCACGCCCACTCACACTCACACTCCCATTCGCATTCTCCTCATGGCCACGACCACGACCACGACCACGACCACGGCCACGGCCACGGCCATAGCCATAGCCACGAAGCCAGCCACAGCCATAGCTCTGAGCGGTCTCTGTTCACAAGGACAATCCTCCCCTACACGACTGGGTGGCCCATACTCTATTCCATCCTAGCCGAGAAAGACTCGAGGCGGATCTTCTACTTCATGTCGTACGTCTGCGCCCAATGACATGCTTGACTCGAGTGACTGTGACTGACTCCAGATACAGTCTCAACTTTGGTTTCATGATCATCCAGGCGTTTTACGGCTACGTCACCGACTCCTTGGGCCTTCTCAGTGACAGCATTCACATGTTTTTTGACTGCGTCGCCCTGCTCGTGGGATTGCTAGCGGCTGTCATGAGCAAGTGGCCCAAGAGCCAGCGATTTCCGTACGGCTTCGGAAAGGTCGAAACTCTGAGTGGCTTTGCCAATGGCATTCTCCTGATGTGGGTTTCCCACCGTTCTTCGTGATGATTATTGGTTCTGACTCTTCTCTTTAGGCTCCTCAGCGTTGAAATTGCGTTTGAGGCATTCGAACGCTTGTGGGAAGGGACACAGACGAAGCGGCTTGGCGAGCTCTTCGTCGTGAGCACCCTTGGCTTACTTGTAAATCTGGTTGGCATGATGGCGTTCGGACACCACCACCACGGCCATGATCACGGCCACAGCCATGGCCATTCTCACGGTGAAAAGCATGACCATGGCTGTGGTTCCCATGCAGGCCACGACCACAACCACCACCACGGGCATGGACACGACCACGACAACGAGAATATGCGAGGCATCTACCTGCATGTTTTGGCAGACACTTTGGGCAGCGTGTCCGTCATTGTGTCCACCGTGCTGACAAGCTTCTGGGGATGGGCCGGGTGGGACCCGCTGGCTTCCTGCTTCATTGCGGCCCTCATCTTTTTGTCGGCGCAGCCGCTCGTGTTCTCATCAGCAAGGCGGCTTCTCTTGACTGTTCCCGAGGGCGTCGAATACAACCTTCGGAACGTCCTTGCGGGCATTGGACAGCAGCGAGGCGTCGTGAGCTACTCAACGCCCAAGTTCTGGATGGACGACTACGGAGGCGACCGGTTACTGGGAATTGTTCACGTCACGGTGGCCCGCGGCGCTGCTCTGGAGGACACCAAGGACCGCGTTCGAGAGTATTTGCTGAAGGAGGGCGTCGATGCCGTTATCCAGGTAGAAAGAGACGGCGATAATGGGTGCTGGTGTTCTCGAGGACGGGCCATAAATCCTCCGCAGACGTCGAAGCAATTCTAGGTGAAGGGCATCCTGCTTTGCGTGCCGAACGGCAGACGGCCTGGAAACGTACCCAGACGATTCCGCAGCTCTGCCACGGGGAAGAAAGACAGAACAAAGAGCAGCAGATTACCCAGCAGTACACGTTAACATGGTGAAGTCGCATCTCAGGGCACGGCTTGCTTGGTTACCCTCGGTGCTTTGGAAGGGGATTGGCCACGTTTTCTGAATAATTAGTAGAGCGAGAAGCTTGGCGTATTGGTGCGAGTCATGGGTTTTGCTCGGGTCGCGATTTGGAATACGTTTTGGCATATGCTACTTGCTTGGATGTCTGGCGACGGAGTCTTGGCCACCCGACTGTAAGGGATTATTGATAGCAAATCGAATCATTAGCTTGTAACATGGTGTGGTTTATAGCACAGTTGGTGATAAACGCAGCTGTTCTGTGATGCTCCGGCAGTTACACGGAGGCGTATGTAAGCACACAGCTCAGCCCCGGATCAATGACTCCTGGGGTAGTAGAGGGGCCATGAGGGGTAGGAACACATACATATGCAGGCAGCAAGAGGAGGCATGACATCCCAGCCTACATACCTACATACATACATACCTTGTCTTATAACCCCCTTCACCTTGCCATTGCAGCGGACATTGTACATGGGCATATGCCTCTTGTGCATGAGACGCGCGCCTCGTATCCAATGAGTAAGTAAAAGAACGAGCCCACAACACGCACAGGGCTAATACATGGCGTATGTTGACCAGCTTCCACCGACAAGGTAAGAAAGATGCTCTTCTTCACCTCTCTCCCCAAAGAAGACGGGCCCGGATTTTGCATAGCGAAAACGAACTACTGACTATGCGATGGTGAAATACGTAGACGGGCTGTCAGCTCTGCGGCGTCACGTTCAACATCAACCGGCTCCGGACCCACAGCGAGCCCCGGAGCGCCGCCTGGGGCAATTCGTACGTCAGCAGGCACAAGGGCCGGGACTGGGTCGCCGTGACGGGGGGCGACGCGGCGGAGTGCCCGGATGGCGGGTGCGCGGCGGTGTATCGGGGGAGGCCGCCTGGGGAGCTGCAGTTTTGCTTGAGGCTGTATGAGGAGGATGCGGATGATGCTACGTATGTGCCTGAGAGCGATGATGAGGAGGATGATGATGAGCCCTTGGAGTATGATGAGGACGCGGAGGAGGTTGGGGATGTGGTGATGGGGGAGGTGCCTGGTTCTGAGATATACGGAGACTCGGATTCCGATTTGGAGGAGGATCGTTGGTTCTTCACGTCCAATGGACTCGATCCTCAGCCAGAGTACGACACGGATTTCATGCCGCTAAGTGCGCCGTACGATCCAGACGGCGGAGCAAAAGACGACGACATCGGCGTGGACATGCACATCATGGCGCTCCCGACGGCTCGCAGATATGAGCACGTGGCTGGCCCTGGCTGCTGCAACACTCGAGGGTACCACGGAGATCGACTCTCTCTTGACGAGATGATGGACTGCCATACCGTGCAGGGACTCTACAAGAAGACGGAGGACTGGACGCCGAGCGGCGACGACATGGACTTTGAGAGGGAATCAAAACAGTACCATCTTACGGGGCTTTCGGACTGCATGCCGCCTAACGGGGGCGACGTGAGGTGCGCGCCGATCCGCGGGGGCGCGGACTGGTTCCATGCGTCTAATCTCAGCGATACATGGAAAGATGTACGTGGTGGTTCTTTTTGCTTCTACGAGGCATGCGTGTGAGTGGCTGACGAGAACTTTTAGCTGTTTGGATGGGGGACCTATGTCCTCCCGTTTCACCCTACGTGTTTCGAAATCTTCATCAGGATAAGCAAGCAGCGCATGGGCACGGTCAGCCTCGACTCGCTCATGAAGCTCGAGTGCAACGGCTCCCGCAACATGTTTGGCACGCGGCATCCCGACGTCGTCGATGCCCGCAACAGGGGCTGGAAGTGGGCCTGCCTGCTCGGGTCCGAGTATTTGGCTGCGAATCCCATCTTCATCCCCGGCTTTAGGGAGATTTGCGAGGCTGCCGTCTCGGACGCGGAGGACTTTGATAGTCGAGGGAGTCCGTTCCCGGAGCGGATGGAGGAGCAGGAGGAGGACGACGACGAACGAGAGGTTTCTGGGGATCCGTTTTGGAAGCTGCCTACTGAGTTGAAGCATGCGATTGCTTGGGGTCTCGATTCGAAGGACATTGCTGCGCTGCGGCTTGCGTCGAGAGCGTTTTGTCATCTCCCGATGACGCTGTGGCATACGCTTCTGGTTCGGGAGATGCCGTGGGTGTACGAAGCGTGGTGCGAGGACGCGACGCCGTATCCGTGGGCCATGGCGGACGCGTCGTACCTGAAGCAGAAGCGAGAGCTAGAGGAGGCATACACCGCCGAACGACTGCGCAGAGCAGAGGTCTTGAGGACGACGGAGCCCGATTTCTATGCCATCTGGGAGGAAAACGAGCCCAAGACTCCAGCCGTGCCGCCGGAGCTGGAAGCACAGAGGGAGGCGTTTGTGGAGAAGAAGAGGGCGATGATGCCCGTGAGGCTGCCGAGGGATAAGACGAACTGGCATCAGCTGTATACGGAGATTAAGAGGAATGAGGGGAAGCTGAAGGGGTTGAGGAATAGGAAGCGGATATGGAGCGGTGTGGAGGAGATTGTGTCGAATGTGAAGAGGCGCTGGGAGGATTCGATGGAGAAGACTTCTGAGGATGGTGATTATGATGATGATAGTGATGATTGGGAAGGGTGGTGATGATGATGATTACGATGAATGGGAAGGGTCTGTTCCGGGCTATACCCCGGAGTCTGTTCCGGATGTATATTACTATTTCTGAATTGAAGCAATCGTCATGTTGTCTGAATGAAACAAACGGAGGATTTGGCTTGACATGTGATTGCTTGCTAGTACTAGTAGTACTACTATCGTACACATGAGCAAATGACAGAACGTGGGGTTGACATGAAGTCTGGCCCCGCTTCTTCCTGTTACCCCACGGGCGGGCTTGGGGGGGCCTTCGGCAAGATGGGATCCCAGGCCGAGGTACCGGTACTTGTGCAGGCAAGAACCTGAAGCGTACCGTACCTTATCCAAGGTAATCGCTCGTAGATCAGGACCCTCAAGCTGGAGCCAAGGGTACTGATCACTTTTCACAACGGGTTCTTCCATTCTGCCCGAGTGTAGACGGTAGTTTCCGTCAATGTTCTTGAAAAGGCCGGCTGTCACGCGGGGGCCCGTGGCTTGGTGGCGCCTTTTTGGAGCCGGAGCAACGAGCCGAGGTTCGGGGCGGGACTGAGATGGGCTGGGCTTTGAGGGTCGTGGGCCCGGCGGTAATTGCATTAAGAGGGTTATTGTGATTCTGTTGTATGAATTTTTATTGCTATGGATGTGTGAAGAGAGATGCGCTTGTTGAGTAGTGAGACTTGTCGGTGGTGGTAAGTCCTCAGGATGTAACAGCTTGAAGGCAGTGTTGTGGTGTACAGTTGTTTGACATGTGCTTTCTGCTACCAAGGTGCACGTACCCAGTCCGGTATCCAGCAGAATCACAAGCGTTCGTCCATCGTGAAGAAGTAAAAAAGCCCCCAGGGAAGGGTGGGAAAAAAAGGAACAGCAGTCATACGGCACCATCACGAGGGTTTTATACAATCTCAAGCAAAAACATGGCTCCATAGGTCGTCAACATATTATTCTTGTGTTTTGTAATGTGAACATCCCTCCGACCGAACAGGTTCCTTCTCTCCGTTCGCCCACAAGCTTGAGCTTGCTGGATGCGCGCTGCCCACCAGCGCTAATAATCGATCGCGGCCAGTACAGGTACTTGGCTCGCCTAACTGCATATAGCAAACAACGCATTATATCATCCTTGTCGCATCTTTCTCTTCCTCCTCCTGCTCAACCTCCCGCTACAACTCCAGCTCCAGCTCCGTCTTCGCTCTCCTTTTTTCCGCAGTCCCCTCTACTATCTCTTCTCTCTCCTCTCCTCTCCTCTCCTCCCTCCCTCCTCACTCCGCCAATCCACGCCCACAATGTCTTCGTCGCCATCACCAAGCTCCTCCTCCTCCTCCTCCCCCTCAGACGCAGTCTCCAAGCTCGCCGACAAGATCCCCTCCTCCGCCCACGAGGCCAAGGAGACCGCGCAGGCCGCCGCGCCCGCCGCCCAGTCCGCGCTCCTGTCGCAGCTGCGCGCCCTCGCGGCGGGCGGCTGCAGAGGCGTTGATGTATAACTTTACCAGTCCCATAAGCCGCGTTCCATTTCCTTTACTTCCCTTTTGCCGCTCAGTGCCCAGTCAGTTCTAGATTATAGTTGGGAAACTACTGCGGACTCTTTCAATATACCTGACCTAAAACACGCTCCCTTATCGTTCGTTCGTTCGCCCGCTTTAGTCCAACGTACCCCAAACGAACCCGAAAAGAAGCAGAAAGCTCGAAAAGCTTCTAATGAACGTGGTTAGCACCGGAGAAAAATAGAAGACCTCAAGAAAGCCAAACTATACATATACAAATAACCTCAAATAACTGCCGATGGGCGGATGCTCCCTCCTTCTCCGTATATATGGTTCCCAATAGCTAAGTCCCACTTAACAATCAAACCCCTAGACCCTCAAAGCTGAACTGATACTATCAAGGCATAGTGTACCACAATATTTCCACGTCTGTCTTACCGCTAGTTCTGGACCGCGTGAGTCTCAAACTAGTGTCGAGTGACGAAGAAACGAGTAATATATTCCGCACTACGGAGACTAGATGGTGACTATGACCTTACTACGGACTAAACTATACCGGTAACGAAGCGGAGACTACGCTCTTCTATTCGTAGATCAGATGTCTGCTTTACCTCATTAGTACCGACAGATTACAGGGAAAGGTCTGAGGAGTACTCTTGTATTTAGGTCGGGGGGATATATGAAAACAAGTAAGGGAGAGGAACAGAGGGGTTGGTAGGAAACATTGAGTTTTTGTAACGGTTACTATAGTGTTTTGTTTTTGCTGGGTTTTTTCAGTATAGTTTGTGGATTTGTTAGTAAAGCCGGGTTTGTAGAATAAGTATCGGACTACGCGGTTGAGGTGGGGGTTTTTGCAGCGGCGTAAGCGGCCGTGTCGTGCGCAGTCGCGTCCCGGCTTGGGTCCCTTCTTGCGGAACATTGGGGGGAATGGTATTTCGAGCGCTTACTGCGGGGGTTACCATTGTACGGGGAGGCGGCAGACGTTGGCGCTGAACTGGCATAGCTGCCCTTTGTGCCCCTAGGTGTACCGGTGCGGGCGCGGCCGTGGCCGCGTGCAGTGCCGGCACTCCGAGTCGACGGGGCACCCGAAGGGGCACTGCCCTAGGAACCCCGACTCGCGGAAGAACTACTGGAGCATGCGCCGCTTCATCCGCCGCGACGGGCCAGGCAGCGCCCGCTCGCACCGCTGCGACGGCGCCTTCTGCCTCGCGTCGGGCGGGAGCGCCATCTCGACCGCGTGCTGCAGCTCCGGCGGCGACATAAACCCGAAGAGCGGCCCGCGCTCGACGAAGACCGGGACCTGGACCTCCTATTGGAACTGCGCGAGTTTCCCCCGCCACTACCGGCAGTACCCCTACCGCCTCTCCTTCGGACGCCGCCGCTCGACCGGCCAGCTCTCCGGAAGCCCCGACTGCCCCCTCTGCCGCGGCTGCTAAACGAACGGCTCCAGCATCGGGGTCTTACTCTGCCGCTGATATGTGTGTATCGTGTGTTAAGAAGACAATCGGTCTCTAGTGCTAGCTCTTCCCCCCTACTCCTCGTTCCCTTCTTCTGTATGTGTACCCGCACTGCGGGTGGTCGCCGCGCGACTGCGGGCGCATGTCTGGGGAGGAGTCCGGTAGGGAGCGCTGGCTGAACGCGTGCTGCAGCTAACGCGAGCTCATCTGCGGCGCGAGCCGGCAGACGTCCGCGTGGAACTGCTCCAGTTTCCCCACCGGCTGCTGCTGCCGCGTCTGCGGCGGCTTCGGCGGC